GCATGTGGACTTCAACTCCCAGAATTCCATGGCTGGCTGTGGAATTCTGGGAGTTAAAGTCCACATGCCTTAAAATTGTCAAGGTTGAGAAACACTGAGTTAGATGATGCTGGGAGGGGGGATGTGGATGAGAGTCCAGTTAGTCATAACAACAATTCAGCCTTAGGAATCAAGGTTATTGCACTCAGAATTGATAAGGAGTTGGGGAGAAAGCCCGAGCTTCAAGCTAATTGGGGGATGTGATTTATGACTGTTAATTGGAGGGAGGGGGAATTCAGTTTTTGGCTTTAACTATGTAATGCCGATGCTTTGTTTCTCTAATAAAAGATTCTTTAAGGTAAACAATGCCTCAAAGTTCTTTTAAAGAGTTTCATCTGTCATAACCATGACAGTGGAAAGTCAAAGAAAAATAATAAACATTAATTCATGAACTGACTGAAAACAAAAGAGCATTACTTTAAGACACCTAACAACACCTCCTTCTTTCCCCAAACCATAATTGTAGCTTGTGAGCTTATGAACAAGAAATATCAAGTGTTTTTTATACTAAGGATGAAAAAAAAGGAAAACATATCAATTTTCTATGCAACATTATTCTGTTGATGCTATGTAATCTTCTAAACTGAGTTATTGCTAGTCTATACCAATAAAATAGGTGATTTTGGCTTGATGCCTGGCTTGAATATCTATTAATAATTTATAATTAAGTTATATATTAATTTAATAATAAATAATAATAAATGATCCCACAGAAAGGGAATGAGAAGTAAAATTTTGTATCTTTTTTCCATAACATTTTCCGTTGGATGTGAACTTCCTAGCATGATCAGGCTTACTGTATATTTTTTTACAAACTAGAAAGTGATCCAGGTGAAAAATTTAGATGTTCTTGAGAGGGCGATTATACCAATCTGTTTCATGGAGCAAGACAGTAAATCCAATATGTATGGAAAACAAATGAGTTAACTATGAGATAGCAGACATAAAGAAGGTGATGTAACACCAATTGGACAATGATTTTAATAATATTGGAAACATTATTGTGTAGCCTAAGACATTCTGGACCTCAAGGATAGCACAACATTAAAATTTATAAGGAAACCAAGTGATTATCTCTTTGAATATTGTTTTTTCCATTCATGTCAGTGTTCAAAGATACTTGCTCACTGAGCAGTAATGGAACAATAAATCTTTGATTTGTATCATGAAGAATGTTTTCCAATTTGGTTTTGGCTGTACACAATAGCCCAGACTTAATAACTAGCTCTTAATTAATGCAGTTCTTAAACAGGATGAGCTATAGGTATTAGAGATTAGCAAGGGTCACAGTTGTTGCAAGTCGAACAGTCCATTAAGCCGAAATATGCAAACACCACTTCTGTTACTGTAATATATCTAGCTTAATGAAAATTATTTAGCTCTCACACTGGATTAATTAAACTGATTTTTGAAATTCAAGATGAGGTTGTACATGCCAAGGGGGAAAAAAAACCTGATCCTTGAATGCATACAAGATTGTATTTACCAGGGAAAAAAAATTTTAAGGGTTGAAATAATCGTCAGTTCATACAAAAATTAGAGGCTATGTTCTAATATCCATAACAACAATATGTTACCCTCTGTTATTAGTGGATTACTGGGATACCAAGGGAGTCAAAAAAGTCAATATGATGGATAACATTTTCTCGCTCTGCTTCTTTTATAATGAGATGCATCCAAGAAGGGGACACAGCAAGCTCTTTTGTGAAATATTTGTTTGATGGGCAGAATCTGAGTAGGGAATAAGTGAAATTTTATTTTGGGGTTGTGTTCATATCATATCTCACCACAATGGGCAAAATTAAATTAATTTTTTAAAGGGCAAGGTCACACAGCCATGACTAGCTTAATTACCAGCGATGTAAACAATTATTTGCACTGCAGAAGAGTTCAAGATAAAGGAAATATATTTAGGGCTAGATGTGAATTAATAGTTGCCACACAAAAGTACATTATTGGTATTTTTCCCTATCTACCAAAAGTAGCAGTTTTTTGATATGGCCAAAATAAATTAACTTGACATTTCTCATAATACACATGTGGAAACTATGGTACATTATCCAACTGGATTACAACGTTCTTTTTCCATCAATCTCAACATACTAACCTTAAAATCAATGGCAACCATAGTAAGGTCCTACATAACCAAGAGAATTTTCATACTAAAGGATCCGCTACTGTAGCAATTTAAAACTTGAACACCAAGGTTAGTTTCCAAGTGAACTATAACCTGTGATATTTGCTACGGATTGGCATCAAAAAAATAAAAAAGGCAGACAGTGGAATTGAAACCCAGCCCAATCCCACACTGTGTGTGCAACATCAGTGTACATTAAACAGGGTCTTGACTATCGTCTAGACCAGGGGTAGGCAACCTTGGCTCTTTTATGATTCGTGGACTTCAACTCCCACAGTTCCTGAGCTGGCATGGCTTAGCATGGAAACCTCTCCCCTCAGCACAGCTGGCTCAGGAATTCTGGGAATTGAAGTCCACGAGTCATAAAAGAGCCAAGGTTGCCTACCCCTGGTCTAGACTTTATTTCCCTGAGAATGTGCTGATTGTTAATCTTTACAGCTACAAAAACATATCAACTTTATTATTGCATTGAACTGTTAATTTTAATTATCCAACTCTCTTCTACATATTTTTCACAATTCCTTTGCTAAGAAAATATACTAACAAATAATTAGCAATTTCCACAGGAAACGTTTTGTAATGCGTCAATATGAAAAAAAAATACCTAACCTTAATGCTCTGTTTACCGTAAATGCCGGCGTATAAGGCGACTTCCGCGAGCGCTGAAATCGGCGCCAAAGACGGGGGTCGTCTTATACGCCGAGTCGTCTTATACGCCGGAAATACTGGTAGTTTCCGGTGTATAAGACGACATTCTAGGAATGCGGCCCGGCTATAAAGACGGGGGTCGTCTTATATGCTGGGTCGCCTTGTACACCGGCATTTACGGTAATTTGTATTTTTATAACGGCTTTTAAAGATAATCCAAAACCTGAAATATTTATGTAGCACCATCTTAACGTTTATGTTCAACCCATGCTTATCAAAGAGAAAAAAAACTGTAAAATAAGTTTACTAAAAGCTATACATTTCACAGAAATAATCTATTTTGTTAATATCTATTAGTTCTTTCTTTGAGTGAAAGAAATGTAGGACATAAATAAAACACCCATCACAGAGATAAAGCGTAGTTATTCTGATGCATGGATAAACAAGCACAGTATACACCTGATATACAGTTATATTGCATAATTGTACACCAAATGGGAACTGTTCTCTAAGCCTAATGTTACAAACAGATGTGGATTCTAAGCCAAGCAGCAATCAGATAAAAATCCATGAACACCATTTTTAAAAAATCCTACTATAGCAGAGTTCAATGTAGGCTCTTTAAGGTCTTCCAAGACATCAGCTATTATTGTTTCCAGAAAACTACTAAATAGTATTCTGTTGTCATTCTATATGTTGATCTCTGTTACAGAAGAGTAAGGTCTTGTGTTGATACAATTTCTTATTTTGTTTGTCCATGCCATGACAATTCTGCTATTTCAACACACTTCTGTGTGCCAGTGCAGATAAGTGGCAAACACAGTTGGCTGGTAGCTGAAAAAAGTAAGAAAAAGCAAGATATCTCATCAGCAATTATTTTCAAATTAAGCAGAAGTGGTCAGGTTAAGACATGCATAATTCCAGCATGAAGCTGACTTTCATGTGCACACAGGTCCATAAATACTTAGCATCATTTTCCCTGAAATTTGATCTTCTAATTTTCTGCTTATAAATCAGATGTTTCTGATCAGGTTCTTGGTCATTGTAGCTCAGCAAATATGAAAGGCACTGTTTGCCCACTACAGTATACAAAAATGAAATAAAATGGCTTTTATCTATCATTTGATTTCATCTTAACGTTATTCTTATATTTGGTAGAAAAATAAAAATAGCATATCCTTCTGCAGATGTCATTATTAGACTACTATTTATTTTAAAAAATACAATTTTGCATGCAGATTAATTTTTGGTGGATGGTCAAATTTCATTATGATTACAAGTGCAGATTAAGTTCAAAAATATATTTGAAGAAAATAGTGACAAAATATTACTATACTCCTGCCGAGAAAACAACCTAGATGGGACAAGTTAGTCACTAGGATTAAGCTAGTTCCAGGCCTGAGGTCAGGGTCTCTACGGAGACCCTATCAACTTTTTCTTGATGTTGGGGGGTGTTTTACTTCAGTCATCTGATTTTTAGCTGTGTTTTCCACGTTTGCATCCAGAGTCTTCATAGAGTTGGGTGGCCTTAACAAAACATATAGGTATATAGGTAGATAGGCAGGTAGGAAGGAAGGCAGGCAGGTAGATTAGATGGATAGATCAGATAAGATAGATAGGATGGAAAGACAGACAAGATGGAATCTCTCAAATCATTCCCGATTTTCAAAATATAATTGAAGCAGCTCTGCCCATTTTGGCCAACTGGAATTTTTTTCCCAAATAACTTCACAGAAGTTGGAAATTCTTTATGATGGGAACATATTAACTATTTTGCATGCAAGTTATAAACAAGAAAAACCAAAGCCTTCATATGAGCTTGGTACAAGTGTCTAGTGCTAATTTGGCAAAAAAAGTCCTTACTGAAGCAACACTTATTGCATTTTTTAAAATAGTTTTGGTTATCAGTACCTGAGCACCTAATCTGCAGAGATATCTATTCCTCAAACTAAAGTCACTCTTGGGTTGTAATTTGGCTAAATCATCTTCATTCTGACGTCTGATTTTTTCCAGTCTTTTTGCTCTGCAAAAATAAAGGGAATGTTATTAATAGACACATAGAAAGATGAGTGGGTTAATTTTTCAATGAATATTATTCTTACATCAATGTACGGATGTATTGTCAGCTAAAGGAAGGGAGAGCAAGTCAAACATGTTAACAGACAGTAAAGTCAAATACACTCTTGTCCAATATTTATTATTTAAGGTCAAATGTAAGTGCAAAGTGCAAGTTTCAACATGGTCAACCAAAGTATAATCTCTGCCCGTAACAAAAAAAAAAATCAGAAAACAATTGTAATACAAAAAAAAACAAAAAACAGCAACTTAGCTGCCCTTTTTTAAAAGTAACATGGCTTTTGATCAGTAGGATGATGTTTTTCAATGATATATTTTTTAAAAAAAATCATACCACTAGGATTTTATTTACATTCTTTTGGTCCTGTAAGACATACAATATTACAAAGTCATGGTTTGCAATGAGACTCATCACATTTTGTAACAAACAATCCCTTCAGAAAACAAGCTGGTGAATACCAAGACATCATTATCTTGTAGACAAACCACCCTTTCACAAAACAGAAGGGTAGATATCACTATTCACATGCCAATTAACTTCAGTGAGCTGAAGGAGCCGACTTCGCTTCAAATAGAGTAGGTCTGTTCAACGATGTGGAGTATACATATATACAAAAAGTATGCTCTGCTTGCAGTCCGGGTGCCTTGATTAAGAGAGACGTTTGACATGCTGTTATGTTCAGCAAATGTAACTGAGTTTTCCTGAGTGAACTACTTTTGAGTGCAACTTGAGGTCTATCACTTGAACATGTACATGTACTAGAATATTCTTCAACGGGATTGTTGTTGATCAAGTGCTGCCCAGTTCTGGAAGGTATTTCCTATTCAGATTTCTTTTCTGCAAAACATATTGTAGCAAACAAGTTATTGTAACTATGTGCTTATAAGGCCCTCAAAAATGCCATGGTGCAGGACTGAATGTATTAAGAACTATCAGAAAGCGGTTGCTCTGAGGGTTCAGTTCTCAATTTTCTCCAGTCACAACTGCTGAAAATCAATTAACAGTTGCCTGCTACATTAAAATGGAACCACTCAAAATTATTGTACACATTTCCAAAATAAACTTAACAAGGCTTTAAAAACAACTTCCCAAACAATATACGTGATACAGTTTTGCCCATTTTCCATTAGTTATTCATTATGGCTCTTATCCTCCCCCTTCCAAAAAAGAAAAAAAAAGATGTTAAACATTTGGTCACCCTTGCTTTAATTAAAGAAAAGAAGACACGTCTGATGTAAATTCTAGTATCAATGCCTTTTGGGTGACGGGTGGCTTTACTTTAAACTGCTAGAACAGCACAGTAATTTCTGTTGTCTAAAGTGATCCTGCATCACACACTCTAGATCAGTGGTTCTCAACATTTTTAATGCCGTGACCCCCAACCGGTCGTAAGTCGAGGACTACTCAACTGGTGCAGCACCGTTTGCAGAATGGGACTTTTGGCAGAGTCAGCAGGGCAGAGACAGCCTGGACAATTCCTATTGGCTTTTGAAAGCCAATAGAATTAGACTCTATTCAAGAGAGTGTATTCTATTGGCTTTCAAAAGCCAATAGAATAAAAAGGAGTAGCACAGCTAAGGAAAAGGGGGAAAAAATGGCGGACTGCGTTGTTTGGCGACCCCTGTGAAATGGTCGTTCAACCCCAAATGGGGTCCCGACCCACAGGTTGAGAACCACTGCTCTAGATTTATTTGGATTTTACTATTATTATTTTTAAGACTGAGATTCCCATTGTCCCTGAAGAGTTCTCCAGTGGATACCCTTTTAGTTTCATATTCCATCTGACTACTCATACTACTATGGTAACCTTTTGGTAAATGGGCAAATCTTCACAATTTAAGAACTCAATTTTTAAGATGCTAAAAAGAAAATGCAAAATTTGTCTTGGCTTCATCTGACATTAAGTGCTCCTAGAGCACAGGTGTCAAACTTGTGACGTCACGTGATGTGTCGTGATGTAGCGTGACTTTTTTCCCCATTGCCTTGCAGCCACAGGGTGGGCTGCGTGTTGTAATTGGGAGTCAGGTGGCATAAACAATCAAATAAATAAATAAATTTTGGGCAGCAAAGCAAGCAAATCCAATGCTCTCAATCCAGCACAAACACTCACACATTCAGAAGAAAGGTTAAAATGCAAGGATATAAAACTGCAGTTATATATGTACCAGGCCAGTACTTCAATTAACTACTGAAGAAATGACTTGAACAAGACTGAATTTCGTTGTTTTGGGGTAAGCCTGAATTTTTGCTATTTCTAAAGTTTAATATATAAAAAATGGTCTCAATTCCAGCATTTGAACAGTCAATTACTTTTATATTCCTTTTTCCTCTATGTTTCAGATCCTTAAAATGACTCCAGCAACAGAGGAGAACCACTTCTATTTTATATAATACACCAGAACACGTTTCTGCAATTTATAAAAAAAGCTGCTTCATGTTGAAATATATTTGGCTGCTATAGGGTTACATGGTACATAGAACCAGGACTGTGATTAAACCAACTCAAGTAATATATGAAGTCTCTTTATAAATTTCTACCAACAATTATACAGAGAATAGTTTTAACACTACTTAATCCTATTTTCGTTTATTATGATGCAGCTTAAATTATCCACTATTTTCTTCTCAATATATTTCCAATGAACCTCAGGATATATCTGAAAAATCTAGGAAAGCGTTTTGACTTTAGAAGGAGAGACATTTGGAATGAACTTTTTATGGTGTTTAAGAACTTGATTCTTTCATACTGCTCTGAAAAAATCTCAATAATTAAAGATTTGAAGACCGCTTAAACAAATATTTAAAGAATGAAAGACCCAAAATTTCCTATAAAATTTAATAACAGACCAGTGCAACATATTTCAAGTGTTAAATGGAAGTTGCAATTAGTACAAAACATAGCTGCTTTCCTCCTGGGAAGCCAGAGCCACCCGTATGGGTTGCCAATAGATTTCCAAGTACAATTCAAAGTTCTGTCCTTATGAAGCCCTACCTAGAGGCCACTGGAATACCTTCAGGACCATCTGCTATACAAAATACAAATAACTACACAGCTTAATGTCTATGGAGATTCTCAGTCATCAGGTCATGGTTGTCCCAAAGGTGCTTTTTCAAGAGGCAACTGGACTTTCTTTGTTCTTCCTTGAAGACATTTCACTTCTCATCCAGAAGCTTCTTCAGTTCTGAAGAGGTTCAGGTTGAGAAGTAAAACATCTTCAAGGAAAAACAAAGGAAGTCCAGCTGCCTCCTGGAAAAGCACCTTTGGGACAACTATTCAACTTATGTATCCTATCCATGTAACAATCAGGGTGAGAAAGCTAGAAAATACTACTTTTTGTGTAAGCTCCATCCATGTGAAACAGTGCCCCCTCCTGAGATTTAGCTGGTATCCTCCCTGATGGCCTTCTGGAAGCCAGTTCAAGCTGTTGCAAAGAGTATTAAATCTCCAAGGTTGCAGAGATAATTGTCAAGAGTTCTTTAATTATATGTATTTTTATGGATATATATATAGCCACCAGCAACCTTTGTTGAGATTATTTACTGTGATTCCAAAGTGAAGAGTTATACATACCGTATATGCCGGCGTTTAAGGCGACCCGGCGTATAAGATGACCCCCGTCTTTGGTGCCGAGTTGCATGCCTAGATCGTCGTCTTATACGTCAGAAACTACCAGTATTTCCGGCGTATAAGAGGACTCAGTGTATAAGACGACCCCCGTCTTTGGCGCCGATTTTAACGCTTGCGGAAGTCGCCTTATACGCTGGCATATACGGTATTTGTGTAACTAGGGATAAGCTTTTTTTACCTTTCAAAAACTGCAAAGAAATACATTTTCTCAGGCGTACAAATTCATCTCCCAATACAATGAACATTTTGATCCTATTAAATCAAAATAGTATATATTTCAGTCCTCAGATCTTTTGCATGCCAATTTGCAATCCAGGGATTTTTCTAATACCACCTATACTGTAGGACCACTACTATGTACTTACTCAGCCATGGCTAACTTCTGCAATTTTTCTCTCTTCTTTGCAGACCAGTTAAGGTCTCCGTCTATGAAAGAAAGGATATATGTACAATTTAATAAGGCATCATTCTTACAAATCTTTACCATCTTTAATTCTCAAGAAATAGGTACCATAATACAAGTTTATGTTGTCCAACCTTAGAGGCCTAAATATTTAGGAAACATTTTTTAACAAATTGGAGAAGAAAAACAAACTCCAATCTGAGGAAGGTAAAAGTTGGTTAAATGTGGAGAATTTCAAAAATTATGTTTGGATTCCAAAAGAAGTCCCCACCAAATTTATTGCACTGCAATGCATTCCACAAAGGACTACTTTTCAAGACCTTCAGAAATTGCAATTGATTAAATATATTGTGGCCTCCTTGCTATAATGAATAAGTGCACTGTTCATTTTATTGCATACCGCCACTTGCTGCAAATAAATTCTGGGATGCAATTCAAAATGCTGGTATTAACATAACAAGCCCTTTTGGCTTGGCCCCTAGTTACTTGCCACATTGCCTTCTCTGCTACAATCAACACCTTCCCCTATGAATATATTATATTTATCCAAAGAGGTCAACATTCATAGAGACTGAACTTCCTTCACTCCATCAAAATATAATCAAACAGAAAAATATTTGTCTATTTCCACTGGAATCTAAGATAATTCTATTTTGAAGTTTATTAATTGGGCTCAACTCTAGTCTTTCTTTCAAGAAAACACAGTTGTGTAAATGACCTTTGAAGTGAAACTGATTATACTTTTAGAAAAATCAAAAGAATTGCAATTTCAATATATTAGATTAAAAACCCCAGTAAATTATCTATAAAAGAAAAATCTATAAAAAAAGACAATCAAGAATCAGAATCTTTACATTTTTACATTTAAACCATCAGCAAAGAATAGCTGATGTATTTTATTTTAAAAGAATCTGTTATAATGTTATTTCAAGGTAAAGTTACCATTTTTGCACATTGCTGATTCAAAATGCAAGCGTCAAGACAAGATAAGACAGCAAAATGCTTACCTCTGAACAAATTCACAAAGTATAACATAACTACAGCAAGAAGGGCCACTGCAAGGCAAAAATAAATAGTTATATAAAGGAAAATAATATATCATGAACATTAGCCTTAATATGTACATGCAAACATAGCAAAAATAGCATGTACACAATTTTCAACAAGAATACTACTAAAGTGTAAATATTTGATGTCACAACTAGCTTCTACAACAAGGGTTTTTTTTTTCTCCCCAAATGTAAGACTGAGGGCAATGTGTCAAAAGTAGCCAGACACCAAGTAAGTAAGGAAAAACCAGGACATGGAACTGATCGATCAATACAAAAGCTTAAGGCCATAAAGATCTGAGGGCCAGAGTGGCAGAAACAATTGCTTCTGTTCAAATCTTGTTAGCCTGATAGGTTCTTATAAAGATCAGATGTAAACCCATGATTTGTTTTGGCCTACAGCTACCCAACATGCTTCTTTTTTAGAATACCTGTTACAGTGTAATTCAAACTGAAACCCTGAAGATGCACTGAAAATTTCTGTAATGACTGACACAGACTGGGAATAGAAATCAAATGCTTTTGGAGAGAAAAAAAGTGCCCGAAACAAACAAAATTCATTGCCTAATATCCCACAAGTACTAAACCACATGAAAATTACATCTCTGTCAAACAAACAAACCCACCAAGAGTTTTCTCAAAGTATTTTATTCCAGTTTATAAAATGCAATGGAGTTATTTTAAAGAAAAAAAGGGGGAGCTTCCTTTTTATTTGAAAAATGGGGAAGGATGAGGAAAAAAAGGCATTTAATCAGAATTTCTCTTGGAAGCAATTTCTAAAACTATTTCACAAACTACTGATGTTGTGTAATTCCTTTATATACAACATCAGTATATCTCTTTCATAGGACTTTATACTTACAACACAAACAAGAACTGAAGAAAATTTCTAGGAAGAAATATCCTCGGGAATCCAATATCATACCAGCAGCAATGGCAATGATTGCAAGGCCCAAATTCTGGATCGACTGCATGCTGGAAAACAGAAAGAACATTCCATAACCCCACTTAGTTTCCAATCAGCACAAAGAAGTAACTTTAGAAAGCTGCCTCTGCTTTTTCTGTAAAATATAAAACATCTTAGACGCCAACTGAAATGGTATTTGTGTATTAAAGTCCAAGACAGATAATTACCACTTAAAAAGAAGTAGAAAGAAGCCACATCTTTACAGAAAAGACAGTCTCACCTGCTGTAATGGGGAAAAGGAATAACCATGTAGAACAGAAGAAAGAACTGCAATCAAGATAATCATCAAAGAAATTTAAGCCTGAAGTAGAAAACATCTCAGGGAGTATCCTCCCTAGATCTCACAAAGATAAAGGGAGGGGGATGTATTGAAACTTGCAAGATTGATGCTGGAGGCGATTAGTGAACCAAAATTATGAATTCTATTTTTATTATACGGTTATAGTAACAAATCTTAAAAGTCTGCCTGCACTTTTTCCCTTTATCTTCATGAAAACCAAGGAGGGTCCTGTCTGATACACTTTTTTTCACAGTTCCATGTGATCCTGGAAGAAAAGCTTCAAAAGTCACACATTAATCAATTTCCTAAAACAGCAACCCTGTTTTTCAGATTCACAAAGGAGTGTCAACAAAAATAGGCTGTTTAATCAAAGGAACAGAAATGCTGTTCTTATGAGACCCAAACCATCTTCTTCTGAAGCATTTCTGAAGCTTGCGTGAACAAAACTTTTACAATCCCAGGCAACAATATATTGATAACTGTGCATGGTCAAGGAGGCACACGCGTGGGGATATGCAGTACATAAAATGTTCAGAGATCTGCCCTTGCGGGTCAACACTCATGTCTCCATCAGACATTTAATGTTGGAGAAATGAACACTATTCCAAGAAGTCAACTGGAGAGACAGAAGGGATCTGGAATAGGCTCCGATATTGTACACACTGGTCAGATGTGCCTGCATGCAATCCATTTCTTTCTTGTTGCACTTCAATCTGGTCACAGCACATACTTTCAATCAGTTGTGGAAGTCAGCAAAAAACAAACAAACTTAAATGCAGATTTTGAATCAGGCCTGGAATATCTTAAATCAAGGACAATTTCTAGTACTCAGAGCTGTATCCAAGTATTCCTTATTTTGGAACATTTGCATAACATCCGCCCCCCAGGTTAACCAAATAGTAATCTGCTACGCATGTAGAATAGTCAAATATGGAGCTATAAATAAAATGGCAGGGGACTATAGAAGAGTTATGATCAGAAGTTTAAAGATGACATGCTACGAGATCCAAAGATCTGTTACTTACAATCCATAGGCAGTTCCCAGCTGGTGTTCGGGGACAACAAAAGCAACCATAGGCCATAAGGCACAGGCAAGCAAGGAATAAGCAACTCCAAGCAAACACTGTAAGAGAAAAAAAAAAAAAGCATTTATACTAGGCATTAAGAGTGAGCAAACCAAAGTTCCTAAGAGACCAAACTGTATGGGCTTAATAAATATGTCATTCTTCTATTCTGTTACCCAGTTGTAAAGCTGCTTCATTTGTTTTTCTGCAGTTAAACAGCAACTAAGTGCAGCTGCTGAGCTAAATAATGCAACAGCCAACAGTATCTAACATCATTAGATGCACCATTATCACTAATATCTAGACTGGCAGTACACATGTATGGGGGAATTGAAGCCATCCAGAACTTATGGGACTGGAACTCTCATTATCACACCCCAATCGTGTTGCCGAAGTCTGATGGACAGTGAAATTCAGCAATATTTGGAAGACCATGTTTTGCCAATGCTATAGAAAGCCTGGCATCTGGATTGTAGAGGAAGGTGATCAAAATTTTTGAACAGTTTTATTAAGCTGTGCTCCTCTAAATCTGCTGGAAGCATACTGATCCAGCTAGCATAGCCTTATGTTTGGGATTATGGAAGTTGATATCCAAATGAATAGGGATGCACATTTAAGGGCAAAGTACTTGACATACTTTATTTCACAAAATATAAACTTGAATGAATTACCTACCATTGCTATCCAAGGGTTCCAGAAAGTAAAGGCCAACATAATGTGAGAGGCTAGAGATCCCACCACTGCACACATAACCCATGAGATGTTCCTTCCAAATTTATCTACTAGAATTCCAAAGATAGGGGACATTGGGGCCGATATGACATACACAATGCTGAAATGGAAAACAGAAAAGTCATGTCAAAGCAATGAGATCAATTTTCCCACCACAGAATAATTCTTCTGTCCTTCACCCTTTTTTCTCCAAGTCACCTTTCAATTATCCATGACTTGATACATTGAGATATATAATGATTCATATCAATAAACTCACAAAATTCTGAAGATTTTTTTTAAGGCTATAACTTAGAGCATATAGCACAATAATAAGGAAATTTTGCACTTCCTTTCATGATCTTATTTTAAGGAGGACATTAAAGATTTTTGGAAGCACAAGCTTGAAGTAGACTTCTTTCATGGAAATAATGGTTAATGCAACAATAAAGCAACTTAAAATTAATAACACTGACCTATTAATCGCACTTGCTGCTTGAGAAGAAAATTTGAATTTCTCAATGAAGAAAACTCTGTAAAACAATAATCAAGGATATTTTTGTGGTTCTGTATCAGCTTAGACTGTAAGTAATCTGCATATCTAGCAACAGATGAACATTATGTGGACTAGTGACAAATCACAAAAACATTCTTGACTTAAATAAATTATTCTGCATTGTATGTAAGTCTCCCTGATGTTTTCTAGAGAAGGAAGCAATATGTGTAGCATACATGGCTGTTGACTATTGAGTAGGAACTCAGGGAGTTTTAGTCTCACCCTATCACTTTAGATAGAATGCATAAAAATAACTGTAAGCAACACTGTTGGAAAGGTAGTCACATTACAGGCAATCCTTGTCTAGTGAGCACAATTGAGACTGGAAACTCAGTCGTTAAGTGAAGCTTAAAGGGACGTTGGAATTTCAGATCTGGTCCTAAGTCCCCTTTCTCTGGTAAGTCATAACTTCAACCAGTCATAAGTAAAAGACTAGCTGAACTGCTATCCACATTAGGTAAAGGCACCATCTACCTACCCATCTACCATCATGAGGCCCATATGTTCCATCCAATGTTAAAGGGACAAAAATCAGGCAATATCTATATAGAAAATACTTGGATGAGTAAAGTCAAATCAGAATCTCCAGGTGTTTGACTTCAATTCCCATAATCCTCTATCACGCATAAGCAAAGCCCATAATTTAGGTTCAAAGTCAAAAGCATTTTTCCTTGTTTGTCTTTTATATTGTTTTAAATTTTTCTGTTCTGTTTAATTAAAGGCAAACACATTTTTAAAAAGCAAAAACCACACTGAAGTACACAAACATACTTAAAAGTCTGATAGAAATATAATAAACATTTTATAACAGCCAAATAAATCTGATTTCTTGATAATCATGCACTTACTTTCCAAGTCCAATGAAAGGGAAGACAGCCACATAATAACAAACACAGATTAAAAATATGAGCCATAATGATAATGAGAAGTCTTTTACATCAGTTATTTTTATTACTTCACCTTGAGAAAAAAGAAATGCCAGCATTAGCTATCTGCACCATTAAAAATATGATACATCCTTGACAAGTATATAAAATGTCACATTCAAGGAATTATGAACACTAGGTAATTATGACAGTTGCAGAATAGGAATGATTCATGTACGTATAGTAATAATAAAGTTGGAAGGGACCTTGGAGGTCATCTAGTCTAACCCCTACTCAGACAGGAAACCCTATACCATTTCAGACAAATGGCTGTCCAATCTCTTCTTAAAAACCTCCAGTGTTGGAGCATTCACAACTTCCGGAGGCAGGCTGTTCCACTGATTAATTGTTCTAACTGTCAAGAAGTTTCTCCTTGGTTCTAGGTTGCTTCTCTCTTTGGTTAGTTTCCATCCACTGCTTCTTGTCTTGACTTCATGTACTTTGGACAATAGCTTGGCTCCCTCTTCTTTGTGGCAACCCCTGAAATATTGGAACACTGCTATCATGTCACCCCCTCGTCCTTCTCTTCATTAAACTAGACATACCAAATTCCAGTAACCATTCCTTATATGTTTTAGCCTCCAGTCCCCTAATCATCTTTGTTGCTCTTCTCTGTACGCTTTCTAAAGTCTCAGCATCTTTTTTACATCATGGTGACCAAAACTGGGATGCACTATCCAAGTGTGGCCTTACCAAGGCATTGTAAAGTGGTATTAATACTTCACGTGATCTTGATTCTATCCCTGTTAATGCAGCCTAGCACTGTGTTGGCTTTTTTGGCAGCTGCAGCACACTGCTGGCTCATATTTAAGTGGCTCATATATTTCATTGGAAAAAACAAGTCACAGATCATTCATTTTATCAGCAAAAAAGCTCCACAGCAAGGAAAGAAGCTAAAAATTGTTTAATTTCCCAATCAGAGTGAAGTCTGGTACTCAAACACTTTATGGCCAAGATGAGCAAAGTCAATCCTCCTATTCTCAGTTTTAGCATACTTAGAGGAGGGAGGCAACGAAGGAGACCAACATACCAGTTTTCCCTTGTTCTTTGCAAAGAATTTTCTCTGCTCTTTTGTCCAGGTAAGCCAGAATAAGAGCACAAACTAGAGAAAAGATACATGTAGTACCACCTGCAATTAATAGAACAGAAAGCAAATTAATAACATTTATGCCATAAATGAGCATAAAATTGGTTTACAATTCTACACATTCTCAGTATAATGTGTATAAAGTATATACACAGTATAAATGAATGTGGAATCTATCTACCAATGGCTTTATCAAACCAATTGCTAAAAGCATTATATCACAAAAATATTTCAAGATGAGGCCCTGAAAATAAAGAACCCAGGTATAAATTGTGTAGAGGGTATTTTTTTTCATGCCAAGGATCACACTAAGTCTTAAGTGGCTTATTGGGGGTAACAGTGCAAAGAACAATGGGGCAAAAGAAATGGGTTGCATCAGTATCAAATCAGAACCTGATTCCATTTAAATTAAATATGCAAAGCATTCAATATCCATTTTATAAATAATGTTTTGCTTTTATCACATGAAGCATTACAACAGAGTGGCAATATCTGGAGAGCACGTCAGGGCCACAGTGAAGGCTTTTGAAGGCTTCAGCCAATGCTAAGGCTTCAAAGTAGAAATCCGTTAAGTGATGAAAATGGTAACTCCTGAAATGCATGCTGGTTGGGGAATTCAGGGAGAAGTCTATGCATCTTTAAAGCAGCCAAGGTTAAGAAATGCTGCAATCTACATGAAGGACAAGCTTTATAAAACTGAAAATTGATAGTTTAAGAACAGATTTTTAATTCCTGAAATAAAAAAATACATTATTTTTGTAAACAGTAAAAATATTTACTAACCTATCAAGAGTGCTATGCCCAGAGTGGTATGGCCTGTAGAACCAAACAGATCATGAACTTTCCAGTACACCCATCCCATAATATTCATATTCACGGTGCTCCCCTAGAGATAATCATTATAATTAAGCTATATTATTTCCCTTCATTATATCAAAAAACAACAAGCCCAGAAGAATCTTTGTAAATAAAATTTAATTTGAATCTTAAGCTTCTATATAGATATCAGAAAAGATTCAGTATCCTTTTTTCCTTCTGATCAATAGGAAATGTTCTATATTACCGTATTTTCCGGCGTATAAGACGACTTTCTAAAGTGCGGAAATCGGCGCCGAGGTTGGGGGTAGTTACAGTAGTTTCCGGCAGATAAGACAACATTCTAGGCATGGAAATCGGCACCGAAGTCCGGGATTGTCTTATATGCCAGGTCACCTTATACGCCGGAAAATACGGTATATATTTTTCACTTCAAGCTTTACAAAGCACATATCTAACATCCTATTCTTGTTCCAGCAACAAAAGACTGTGTACATATTTTTTTTTCCTTACAATAACAATGTGGAATAATTTGGGCTGAGAAAGTATGACTGGCCCAAGATTATCAAAGCTGTGAATGGACTTGAACCTGGCACTCCATTACTCTAGTCCAACATTTTAACTATTATTCTATAGTGGTTCCTAGCTATATTCATTCTTTTCCCATCTAAATTCCAAATGTAACTGGCTTAGTACAGTGTGCATTGTACATGTTTTTAGGGAATCTTTGAAAAAACATTTCTTAGAACTGGCAGTCCTCAACTGGAACAAATAAAATTGCATCCATTTAGATATCATTTTGATCAGATGCTTGGAATACTCAACAAGAATATATATTCTTCTAGGCCAGTGTTTCTCAACCTTGACAATTTTAAGGCATGTAGACTTCAACTCCCAGAATTCCACAGCCAGCACTGCTGGCTGTGGAATTCTGGGAGTTGAATTCCACATGCCTTAAAATTGTCAAGGTTGAGAAACACTGTTCTAGGCCATCAACACACAACCTGCTCGCCCATCCTCCCAGTAATTTGGACTATGACACCCATAAACCTCAGTCAACATCAGCTATCTGAGATAATCCACTAGCAATAGGGCTGCATTAAAATGCACCACTGTTTATGTTCTTCATGCAATTTGGAATTACTTTAAGCGCACACAATAATTGTGCACGTGTACCTTTTTATTAATAGTATAACAAAATCCTTGCAAAATTCAGACTCCGACTTTTCAGTTACCATTTGATGTCTCAAAATGTCCAGACATTCCCTCTAAATAAGCTAACATAAAAGGGAAAAATGACCTACAAAGTCAAATTTTACTGCTGTTCCTAAGCTTAACTGATTTATCAAGTTTAACTTTTTAGAAGTCTTTATGAAAGAATACTCTTAAGTAATCAAATGCCTTCTTTTTTTAAAAAAAGAATCATTAACTGATCTATTCACCTCATGCACAGACATGGAAACACTTAGAATAGCCAAACATGTGTAACAATTATTATAGTAAAAAAAACAAAACTGGGTGTTTAGACTTACAATTCTAGCCATGCTGAGTTGCAGTCCAAAAACAAGATTTAATTCTTTTCCTTTAAACCAACTCACAGCATAGGTATTCTGTGCCACTGCTAAGGACTCACCACCAATCCTAAATGAAAGACGAATATGAGTATTTGAAGCAAAACACATGAAGCAATCCCCACTATAACTATACCATTTACAATACATGCTGATTTGCAAAGTAACTTTAAAATAAAATTGAAATGATGTAAACCATTGTTTCTGCAAACCATTTCTGATTTTAAATACATAAGCCTTCATTGGATTCTCTATTTTTAAAATGAAATATAGCAAATATTTAGACAATATCCAAACTCACCCAAATACAAATCTGCCAAATTCCATCAGCCAAAAAGCATCACATATTGCTCCCAAAGCAAAAATTACCTGTAAGAAGAAGATGCATCTCTTTTCAGTTAATTACAGAAATTATGTCACAGCCATGTATTTCAACTGTTTTGGCATAAAACAGATTAATACAATTACACAGCTTTGGAGAAATTATTAATTTATTTTTCTGCATAAAACTGCCATCTGTTTCACTTACTTGTCCTACACAGACGAAACAGCTGAATATTATTGTACCCCACCTGTAAAGGAGTTTGAATAATTTAAAGTCAGCATTGTAATTGGGAACTGCCACCATACAAAATGATACAATTTACTACAAATGGGGTAAAATTCTCCTTCAGAAATGACTAAATGGACTAAACTGAAGAATCTTTTCTCTCTTCTGGATGAAATTGTTTGAAAGCTACCATTTATTTACCCAAAAGAGTACCATCAGGAATCATAAAAATAGATCAAATGTATATTTCCACCTTTCTTCCAATAGCTTTATTTCCATGTCGATTTTTCCCACATATCCTGCAAGATCAAAGTCACTAAGAGAACTTTTTATAGATGAGAAATTCATCCACTACATCACACTGATTTCAGCGGGGGAGGGGGAGGAGTCCTCTCTAAAGTACCACATGAAAATTCAAAAAGGAGCAATAGAAAGTTGACTTTTGAGGAGAAAAAATGGAAAATTAGGACATCTAAGAATGAAGTAAAATAATCAGGGGGAAAAAATACAAAGAACTATTTAATTGCCTAGAGGAGCCCTTTCTTGGTTCATATTGAGCACAACTGTAGGATCTAAATAAGCAACAGAGTAAGCTAGTTCTAGATATTCTCAAAGACAAAAGTGAAAACATTCATAAAATTCAAATGAGAAGATTAAGAGATGTGTATGTCATCTTATGTTACAATTCTGAAACTGTATGCCAAGCCAATTTTGGGCTGGGGGTCAGGACAAATAAAATGCCAGAACCCTAATAATAAAAATCTACTTTCAAACGGTAAATGGTTCAGCTGTGAATTCTTGGAAAACTATTAGGAAAAAGAGCTTGGAATTCCATGTAATTGAAGAATTCAAAATGTACAAAATGCACAAATTCAGGAATAGAATGTAATGTTTCAGATATGCCTGGAAGATTCAAATTCCCCTTTGGAGCAAGCTGTTCTAAGCACAATTTCAAAGTCTCTAGAAGTAATCATCCAAACCAGAAATGGGTTGAGAGCTTCTGGATGTGGTGTTTTCCACAAGGCAAGCCTCTTTCAGACTTTACAAACATACTTCAATCCATTTACAGTTTGAATTATGTATTTCAGATCAGATCACCTGGACCCTAAAAAGATTTGGCATGATCTGGAGGGAAAATAGAAAGATCCAACACTTGCCAACTGCTTCCTTTCTAAATCCACCAGTTTTGCATACACCTATAGAATACTCTCTATTAATTAAAGGACTCCCATCTTTTTTTCAGGCTTCTAGGCAAGCCAGGAAAAAAGGTTCCCAATCTTCAAGTGTCATATTAATTTTGATGAGTGGATTCCTCCCAGGAATTTTTGAAGCACACATAACCCTAGCAAATAAGACAATTAAGGAAATGTGAACATTTGTCTACTAAACATATTAAAAAGATAAATGAAGTACAGTTCATATCCGTACAGCTATTTGAAAATATATATAAAATGGATCTAGCAGTTATCTTCAAGAAAAAATGGTTATAATTACCTTATTCCAAATACTCTGTCTATCAAAAAGCCTCCAAAAAAACAGAGAAACACATTAGGCCACGAATACCAGGCATACAGTGCCATGAACTTAGCTGTGTTCACTTTCATATCCTAAATAGAAAAAACACAATCTTTAAGCACTGCTTTAATTTTAAAATGTTCTTATAGAATAATCCATCCAATACAATATCTGTTATTGCAAGTTCAAATCATACCTCTAAAAACTGTTGTCTTGTTAACAAAGAAATGTTAACATATAGCTTTTTTAAAAAAAAAACTAGTAATCAGATAGGAACTAGGATGTTCTACACATGGATCCTTCCTTATCTGTAAACAGATAATCCTTATATTCTAGGTCCTTATAGAAAACAATTCCTATTTTGTCAAAAAAACCTTACATGCTTTGGTTTTTGTATTTATCTCCCATTTTGCTTCAGAGGATGATGCATTTATTATAATAAAGTATCCTTGCAGCTGATTTTTAATTTTCTCATTTCTTTTCTTCACATTAAAGAAGCTAATGATTATATATCTTAGTGATCAAGGGTGCCCTTTACAGCATACACTGTCATAATTTTGAACAGGCAGGATACTCTTTTCTTTTCCTTTAAGATAAAACAAATAGAAAACATCTGAATTTTTGTGGGTTTTTTTCCTCCTGGAGGAAAAATAGATATTCTTAGACCATTCTGTTTGATAATTGATGCTCAACAGCTTTAACAGACAACTTCTGTCATTCTTGCACAATCAATATCCTGATTCTTCAGAAAAAAACAATTATATTAACTAAGTTTTCATTATCTGATATGGAATCATTTCTGGTTGCTGAAACATAAAGAACATTTGATGAAAATTTCTTGCTATTATGGAAAAACAATGCATAAAAGATTTAAGTAGAAAAAGTAGTGCAATTCAGCATATTTTGCTCTTCACTCACCCTCTGAACTTGAGTCTGCAGAGCTGCTGGAATGTCATAGCAAAAATAGCTGCCTAGAGACAAACAGAGCAGAAAAATTATTTAAAAAACATTCTGAAAATGCTTGTGTCAAATAATCTATGCAGATTATTTGGAATCTACAAAAAAATACTATGCAAAGAGAAGGAGAAATTTTTATTTATTTATTTATGTATATCCCTCCACCCTCGAGAATCAAAGCTAAAGCAGACTTTATTAATTTCCAAGTGATGCCAATACCTCTAATCCCAGGATCAGCAGCAAATAGCACTTTCCAATCATGTCAATTGCTAAAAATAACCATGAATGCTCTCTCCTCCTAGTCAAAACTGATTGAAGGAATAGCAATAACTAGTTTGCTTTCTTCCATCATTTTCCTTTCGTTTTCTGTCTTCCTTGATCCATTTCAGAAAAAAAGGAAAACAGCAATGCAGGCAAAGCATACCGTTAGCTCAGCCCATTTGAGTCGCCCCACGTCTAGCGATGCCTTGAAATAATTAAGAGCAAAACGGGAGCGGCAGAATCTATACTGTCTAGTGTGCATCCACGACATATTTTCTTTACATCCTCCCACGCTGGCCAAAGCTGCAAGAACTATTCTTAAGGCGAAACTTTATTCCCCGGACACAGCCCCTATTCAACCAGGAAGACAGGAGCACCGACCGAAGCCCAGGAAGCACATGAGCGCCAGCACCAGCAGCCTGTGAGCCAGCCGCTGTGGGTCGCACAAGGCCAGCATGGGCTTGCGCGCAGGGTCGCCATGGTCCTTGGGTTGAGAATGGTCCTTGGGTTGCGAATCCTCATCCAGCAACGCCTGCGCCTCTTCCTCCAACAACGCCATCTTGGACAACCCCCCCGTCGCCACCCGCGGCCAGCAAAACCCGAGGAATCACGTGAGTCCCCGTCACATGAGGTGACCGTGCCTGGCTGGTCACGTGAGTCTCAGCACGGTAGGCAGAAAGGGAAGGCCCGGCTTTGAGGTGGGAGTGGCTTAAAAGTCAAGCGTTGTGGCCGGAGCCTATGATCGCAAGGGGGGGGGGGTGTTTCTTGTAGATCAGGGATTTTACAAACTTGGCACTCGTAAGACTTGTGGACTTCAATTCCCAGAATTTCCCAGCCAGCATGTTAAAGTCCCGAAGTCTCATAAGTGCCAAGTTTAGAGACCCTACAGGAGAAATTTAAGTCTCTGCATATCTCATTTTTGAACGGGGGGGGGGTGTCAGGTCCCCAAATGTAGTTGCATTTGTAGTTTTCTTGTTGGCTGTGATAAGAAATGGAAATTCCTTGAAATCAAAATCAGTGTGTTTTCCTGCTTTGGTTGGGACAGACTAATTTAATTCTTTTGGGGGGGAGTATAGTCCTGGTTTTTGAATGATTATAGAAATACAGTGAACCTTTCAATGAAAACAATATATCCCACACACTTAAAATCCCCTCTGCAAAAGTGCACCTATCCATCATAAAGTTCATGAAGCTAGAAGGACACTTCCAGAAATGCAACTGGATTTGTTGCTTTATTGTTAATTTCCTGGGCACAAGGAATGATTATATCTTTCTGATGGAAATTATCTGTCTAACAAAAAAATACCCCAAGACCTTTAATTCTTACAAGCAATTAAGTACAGTACTACATTTTTAAATTGGTTGGGGCAAGACTTTTTTCATGGTTTAGAATAGGTATAAATAGGTTGTCAGTTTAGTAGGATTCATTTTTTAGCAAATGATTTCTGTTTTTCTCTTTAGGGAGATGAATTGTTTAAACATAATTTATACATTCATAAGCCACACACATTGTACTTTTTAAGTGAATTAGAGGTTCAGCCTATTTCTCTTCACCCCTGTGAAAGTCAAAATATGCGCTGCTGCTAAGTATAGAATTTCATAAAAACAAAAACATCCTCTTAATTTAGCCTACTGTACTTCAGAAAATTAGTAAAGTTTGTGCTGGCTTAATTGTTATAGCTTCTGTTCTCTGTCCTGAATATTGTTATTTGAATGTCAATCCAATTTATATTTCAGTGTAACTTTTCTGTAGGCATAACAGACAATAAATAACCTATCATTTGAATGGGAAGAACTGTTTTTGCTTTTGCTTTTTGCTTTTTTGGTCAGGGAGCATTACAGACTTTGTGTTAGTAGATTGTGCTTTGTATCATCTATTTATGAGACGTGATAATCATTTTAGTAGATGGAGGTAAAAAAAATCAGCAAATCTGGTAACATCTTTTCCAATTAACACATTTTATTCCACGATATGACCTGCAACTCATTTGGTTAAAGTTTTTAGCACATGGTGGCACTCTAGAGCTATCCTCAGGTGAACTGGTTAAAGGAAAGCTGGAGGATCTGTTGCATGTTTATAAATAAATGAAATATTATAATATTAAAAGTATTAAATCTCTTCTGAATAATGCAATCTAGTCACTTGAATTTAAAATACTCAGCTAGCAACCTCTTGCTGGATAAATTGTCTTTTCTGTCTATCAGTTTGGGTATTATAGCTATAGTTAATGCAATGATGTTGCATTAACTGATGTTGATGTTGTTAATTGATTTGTATGTTATATTCCAATTCCATTCTGTAGATGGCTTAGGTACAACCACTATGGCATCTATAGGTATTAGTATGCCTATTAAACTCTACTTTGGTGCTTGCCAGGATCTCCACTCAAACTGATTTTTAGAAGTCTTTAATTAAACAAAAATGAAAAAAAAATGCTGTAAAATACCAGCTTCAAGCATACATTTTCTTGAAAAGAAAGCTGCAGGGTCCCAAAAAGATTCTATAAAGCCATTCTTACTTTCTGTAATTGTGGGCATCTGCATCCTAGCACATGGATTTTAGAAAGGGAAGCAAGGGAGAGAATGTGTATCAAAACATTGCTGCAATATATTTGGTCCCTTACAATGCAAATATGAAAGGGCAAAGTTTGTATCCTGTCAATGCAACATATATTTCATCATCCATTCCATCCTTGTGGCTAGCTGAGGTCGTCTCATTTGCCCACTTGCCCAGAAAAACAAGACAGAGCAGCAGAGTAATTTCAAGGACGGTAGTATTTGCCAATAACCTCACCAAATGGCCTTCATAACTGGCCATGGCCCCCATTTCTTTTAAGTGCTGATAATAAGAATTCAAAAGATTCGCATAATGTCATCCTTTTTCAAGAATCTATTATACAAAAAGCGTAAATCACCTTTATGATACGGAATGCAGTAGAGAAAACATGGTGAGAATAGCTTCTAGATTATTATTTTTCCCCACCACTTTAGCCCTGTTCTGGGCCGATGTAACTGAGAGAGAGTTTAGAATGAAAGCTCTGGTAATTATCTGAGTCCCTGTCATAGTACTTTTCTAATATGGATGCATTTGAGAATATTTTATTCTCAAATATTATCTTTGCAGCCCTTGGCCTGATCTGATCCATTTTCAGACTAAATCTTTGTTTTGCTGATTTCTCCCCTTGCACATCAAATTTGGTCCTTTTCTGTTCCATCTCCACAGAGTTATTGTGCTGACAGATTCTGTGATGCTCTTCACAGAATTTTTTCCCCACATTGCATTGGAAAGAATGAAAAAAGTATATCACATCAGTTTCAAACATAAAGATGTTTGCACTAGTTCAAACAATTATTTGTGACAGTTGTATAAATATGGCCATTGTTTTTTATATAAAATTTAGTTTATTCAAAGAAGGTTAAAATACAACTAAAATTTAGTTTATTCAAAGAAGGTTAAAATACAAAACACCCCAAAAAATTTAAAAATAAGAAAAAACAACTAATAAGACATTAAAAAGAAAAAGTGTTTTGGGGAAAAAAAGACTAACACATTTGCACATAGTATCCTCCCTAGTTGAATGCTGATTAATATAATAGGGCAATGTTAGTTTCCCATCCCTTGCAAAACAGGCCAAAAGAATTTTAAACGACTAAATCTATTTACAAATTGTTAACTGGTTATCTATATACTACATTAATAACAAAATAGTTAATAGGAAAAATAAATATTGTTTTTCCAAATATGGCCATCGTTGATCTATAAACACTTCTCTATAGCTTAACACGTTGCATGATTCCAGATAATTCTGACTTGTTCAGTATATTATGATTTAACAAATTATAGCTTAGCAAGGAAAATTTGCAAATAAAGGTCTTAATAATAATAATAGTAGTAGTAAAGTTGGAAGGGACCTTGGAGGTCATCTAGTCCAACCCCCTGCTCGGGCAGGAAACCCTACACCATTTCGGACAAATGGCTGTCCAGTCTCTTCTTAAAAACTTCCAGTGTTGGAGCATTTACTGCTTCTGGAGGCAAGCTGTTCCACTGATTAATTGTTCTCACTGTCAGGAAGTTTCTCCTTAGTTCTAGGTTGCTTCTCTCCTTGATTAGTTTCCACCCGTTGCTTCTTGTCCTGCCTTCAGGTGCTTTGGAAAATAGCTTAATTCCCTCTTCTTTATGGCAGCCCCTGAGATATTGGAATACTGCTATCATGTCCCCCCTTGTCCTTCTCTTCGTTAAACTAGACATACCCAATTCTAGCAACCGTTCCTTATATGTTTTAGCCTCCAGTCCCCTAATCATCTTTGTTGCTCTTCTCTGTACTCTTTCTAGAGTCTCAACATCTTTTTTACATCGTGGTGACCAAAACTGGATGCAGTATTCCAAGTGTGGCCTTACCAAGGCATTGAAGAGTGGTATTAATACTTCACGTGATCTTGATTCTATCCCTCTGTTAATGCAGCCTAGCACTGTGTTGGCCTTTTTGGCAGCTGCAGCACACTGCTGGCTCATATTTAAGTGATTGTCTACTAGGACTCCGAGGTCCCTCTCACAGTTACTACTATTGAGCATGGTGCCACCTATGCTGTACTTGTGCATTTGGTTTTTCTTGCCTAAATGTAGAACCTTGCTTTTTTCACCATTGAATTTCATTTTGTTAGTTAGTGCCCAGTGTTCAAGTCTGTCCAGATCCTTCTGTATCTTAAGCCTGTCTTCTGGAGTGTTGGCTATTCCTGCCAGCTTGGTGTCGTCTGCTGCAAATTTGATGAGTTCCCCATCTATCCCTTCATCCAAATCGTTGATGAAGATGTTGAAGAGTACTGGGCCCAGAACAGAGCCCTGGGGCACCCCACTACACACTTCCCTCCATATAGATGCAGTTCCATTGAGGACCACTCGCTGAGTACGGCCGGTCAGCCAGCTACAGATCCATCTGGTGGTGGTTCTGTCTACCCCACATTTTTCTATCTTGTCAAGTAGTAGGTTGTGATCTACTTGCTATTCTTTGCTGACCATATACATAATCCTAAGGCAGCCTGCCCTAATATTGTGTATTTCTGGTATGTTGGTTTACAATTTCTGAAATCCCCAATAATCTTTCCATGTTGAAATTAATTATAGAATTATAGTATTATAATCCATCCTGTGAAATGGTATAATCATCCTATTTCCTCAGAGTATTGTAAATAAGAAAGAACATCAAGTGTTCTGTGAGCTTGGTTGTTTGTTTGCAGATGTTTTGTTACCAGGCTAGGTAACATCTTCAGTGCAAACAAACAAGGGTGGGGTTGTTTTTTTTTTTGTTGTTGTTGTTATTTTGTCTGAATTCTGTCTAACCTTCTGTGGAGAAATTATGATAAAGTGTTATCATCCTTTGTGTGAATATAACAGTTATTTATATAATGGTAACATTGCAATTAGCTTCTCCTAAAGAATCTTGAGTAGAATGATTTTGTATGGATATTTTCTCCCTATCTACAATTCTAAGAAAAGGGAAATTACCACTAATTATTGTTTGTATCTATCCTTTGTATCCATTTTAAAATTGAAATGCTGCAGAATATTGAAATAAAATACATCGTTGCCATGATGACCAATT